CTGCAGTTTATGGAACTATTTACATTTCAACAAGACTTCATTCATTGGTAGGGTTCTCGTGCAATATTACCTCAGCACCTTCTTCGATTCAATACAGCATTCGAAACTCTATGTCTTTGACAATCACCTAATTTACCATAATATCACACATTGATATTGTACACTTTGTACGAAACATTTAGCTTATATGCGAAAAGAGTATCGTTATATAATATTAATTTATATTTATGTGAAACTTTATAGCAAAACAAGTTATGGCACACTAATGATTAATAATTAGGATTTTATTCATTCATCATTTAATAAATACAATTTTCATTTAGTTTTTTTACAAAAGTATAATTATAATCAGTTATTATTTGTTTATAACATGGGGTTCAGTCCAGTTTATAATTTTAAAATAAATTTCAAGGCAGAACTTCCCTCTGAAATCCCTAACCGTTTTGCTCTCTCAATTTTTTTTATTTATGTCTCTATAATAGAGACGACATATTACAAGACTGATATTGTTATGCTTTTTATATACTTTTGGGTATTGAGTGCTCTTCAGATAATGTTCATTATGACCAATATCATTCTTAAGAACATAGATAGTCTAGCGTTGGAATAGGCCAATTTATAAAATATCTTTTGCATCTGTCTTTTTAAAACTGAACGTATTGTTTGTAGGAGTTAAACAAGTAAACACAGAAGAAAACTATTTCTTGAATTGCTGTCATTAAAAATTTCACTTTGACGATACAAACAATTTCTTTAAAATACGAGTAGCTGGTATGCATTGCATTTACAACTTCATATAATTTATTAATCTATTATTACAGTAGGTACTTACAATAATATTTACAAATACTCCAGTCATCATTTTCGTTCATCACTCATCGTCATCATTACCGGTTACTTTATTTCCTTCACTTTACACGAAACACGGACGGTTCTCACTTTTCCACAAATGACGCGGATTCAATTGAGTCACACACAAATAAACACTTATTCATATTCTTACGTAGGCGTTGGGTTATTTACTGTGTTTGGTTTTCTTCTCGACATACGAACGGCCGTAAGTGTCTTCGAGCTAGCTATTCTCCTGAGTATCGACGATTCGGGGAAGTCTTGATCACTGCGACAAGTGATCAAGTTCTTGTAGGCCTGCCGGTATTCCACCGACATCACCACGTATATGATGGGATTGATGCAATTGGTCAGGTATAGGAGAATGTAGCTGATAATTTTGACAATAGGGTGAAATGTGAACTCGAGGAAAATCTTTGTAATCGATATAGGCAGGTAGCAGATGGCAAATGAGAGAACTATTGCCATGATCAGCGTACGAAGCTTTTTGTCTTTCTTAGATGGAAGCAGTTTTGGGGCTCTCGGCTGTCTGAGCGCAGGAGTACATGCCATTCGAATTTTCTGTAGTGCTATATTACTTCTTGATAGACATTTATTACTATCTGTTATTTTTTTATCTCGATCTTCTGTTGTGGAATGGTCCAAACCAGAGTTAGAGGATATTTCTGGCATGAGACAATTGAAAGCATGGCAAGTATTGCGTTGAGGAGGTGAGGAAGTCTCAGTAGTTTGGCTCGGAAGTGTAGTTGATTCAAAATCAGTAGAAGTTCCAGCAACAATTTCAGTTTTTGGTCTTCGTATGCGTATTGGTCGTCTTGATCTTTTTGCGATTTTCTTCACTATCAAAAATATCCGAGCATAGCAGACTATAATAGCAATCCCTGGTAGTAAAAAGGCTCCGATAAACATCGCCTTTTTTGGTGAATTGTCGTTTACATCTGGTATGATGGTGCATGAACCAACCATAGGGTTCAGGCTGAAGCGGCCCCACTTCTCTTGCCATGTTGGAACTAGAACCGCGAAGCAGAATACCCATATGGTAGCGATCATGGTCGCTAGATATGGTTTGCTGTACAACCTGTAAAAAGGAAACGAATCATGAACATTTATTTCTTAACACAGAAACTTAAAATCTTGCCAAGAGTTGCATTGTAAATATCTTACTATACTAAAATTTTCTGTGGCAATGATTACTTACTTCGGATATAATCTAGGCCAAGCAATCATGATGTATCTGTTGATCGTGATGGCCAGGACTGTGAAGAGTGAAATGGCGACCAGTGCATATTTCGTCAGCGGGAACATGCGACATAGAGTTTTCCCATGTCTCCAAGATTGGTTCCAGAAGGTGGATGCAGCCAGCGGCAGATTAAAGCAGCAAAACAGAAGATCCGAGAGAGACAGACTGATAATAAATATTGCTGTTGCATTCCGAACCTGAAAAAAGAGCAAACGTTGGTCAACTTGCAATGAAATTTGCAATAAGGGCAATGGAATTATGTCATTGTATGTTTTCCTTCTGGGTAATTTATTAAACCACAATAATGACATTGGTAAATTACCCAAGCAATACGTTATCTTTCGCGTGTTAGGTGATTTCGTTAGTCTGTAAAATTAAAGACCTGATTTATATTTACAGTAATTCAGGATATTATGGTACTTTATCAGTTACATAAATTCACGATAAAATCATGTGCGTTTGCATTTCGGGAAACTAAATTATTATAAGGTACAAAAATTTGGTTTATCAGCAATAAGTCATAAATGGTATGCGCATCTTATCATATTTGCGATTCATTTCTTTATTTAATGGATAAATAACAAGTTGTTAGTAATCTGACTCGCCCAGTTTACTTAGCAGTGTAAATAACTTCGATTTTTATCTGTGATCAACGCATTCGTTATTGATGCGTAAGTAAGTTTAATCTATACTTCTATACTAATATTATAAAGCTGAAGATGTGGAACNCGTCTGTTTCTGTCTGAACAGCTATCAGTTTTAACTTATTCATCAGTTAATACTCGTAATAAGCATTTGAGAAAAAGTTTTGAAATGACCACTTTAATTAACATTTAATTAAACATCATTAGCTTAATATTTCTATCATTACTTTAAAAAATATTTAAAATATAATTATGCCATGATGATTCATGTGCAGATATTCATAATTGTAAGTAGCTAGATTGATGCACGACATTGCATTTGTATTAATATGTATTTGAATGATTACCTTTTTACAGCGAGCCAGCGCGATGATAGTGATCAGGTTCCCCGGGACACCAACCACCATGAACAGCATGCAGCACAGCGATGCGAAGGTCAGCAGGGCATCTGGATAGCCAATGAACAGTTCCACTGCTGCCAGGGCCTCATCAGACTCATACTCGTCCAGGCCCAGCATACTGTCATTCTTCGTCACAGACACATTCACCAAAGCCCCCATTTTGTTCCCAACTTCACTGACCACTATTATCACGTCATTAAGCAACGGGCATTAGTACTGGAATGAGCCGCTCCACTTTAGTGATGAACATTGTTTATTATGATTTTCCTCAATGGTGATGAGTCAATTTACGCGCGAGCGGACGTAGGCGCTGATAGTGACGGCCTGGATACATTTTCACACCTTTACAACTAACTTTATTGCTCTCCAACATTATTGTACCTTTCTCCTTGGTCCTCACCACTTTTATTGCTAAATAATTCGTGTTCAAAACCTTTTCTCGCGATATAAACACGGTGATCACATAATGTATACTAATGAGTACATTTGCCACATTAATGGTGATTGCAAATTTTACAGTGATTTAATTATCCTTATTTTAAATATCAATTAGAGATGGGCCGACTAGTCGCCGACTAGTCGGGAAAGCCGACTATTCGGCATCATTTGTAGTCGGCCGACTAGTGACGACTATTCGGCAAAATATGCCGATTATAATCGGCGCATTACAAAATTAAATATGTGAATAAAAGAAACTCATAATCACCAAGATGATTATGAGGTAGACCAAATGCGTTTATCTAAACCACTTTTGACTGCAAGTCTAATTCATACAAAGTTAACATTAGTTAAAATTACCAGGAAATCATCAAAAATGTGTAAAGTTTATGTAATTTAATTTGTCCAAAATTATGACACTTTTTTTTCGGGGAAAAATGCTTGGAATTGCATAACTATCCTGCGGGGAAGTGGTAGATTATGTGGGGCTCCTCTCATCGGAAGGATAAGGAATACCCACATAAATAACCACTGAGATCGCGATTGCCTTAGTGTGAAGAACTATGGGAATCCGGACAAAGCCATCAACTATCACAGTCCGTCCCGGCAATTGCCCACCTGTATGGCAGGCCCTGCCTATCCGACGATGGTGGTAGTCCGTGCTATGCAGGCGGGGGTAGGTACCCCCACGCCCCCAGCTCGCTGACCATCACCGTGGAGGGTGGAGAGGAATCAGTGGGCCTAGTATGCGTGCCGCGATAAGCGCAATTTTGCCCATACATTTTGACGTCGATAAGTAAGAATAATATGACGGCACGCATCCTAGCCCAGCAGGAGGCGATCATATTGTCACCTCTGACCCCTCCGCCGTCGAAAATTATGACATCTAGACCTTAGGTACTGTTAGATGATTGTAATGTTGCTTTTTATTTTTTCTCATATTAAAGAAATCTCATTTCTCAAAAAGTTATATTTTATCTCTTTAGAAATCTAGATATTCATATTTCTTTGAGAAAATCTAGATAATTTATTCTTCGGACAAGTAGGTATTAGAATGATCGGCATTGCCGATTAGTCGGCCGACTAATCGGCAATTTGAAAACCGATTAGTCGGCTAGTCGGTTAGTCGGCAAAGACCATAGTCGGCCCATCACTAATATCAATATTTCATCCTTATATTCAATTTACATTATTCATCTTAGCCTATGATAATAAATTAAGAGATTGCACAGTTTATGTTCTAAATGCTATGAAAACAGTCAATATAATATTGGTTTCATTTTATATACCTAACTGTAACAGTGCTTATACAAAACCTATTGTTATCATTAACTCGTAACTTCCTCTCAGCACAAACACGGACGGTTCACAGTCAACATTATCCACAGCGCTTATAACCACTTCACACAGTTTGTTCACAGTTCAGAGGCGTGCAACCTGTAGTGTCTGATTGCACCGATGGCTCAGGAAGCGCCATCGTTCACGACTAGTCACGGCGGGCGCTTCTCGGAGACGCCGTCGCCAGACGAACGTCACGCCCACCGCCGACACATCAACAAGTTCTTGTACGCCTGCCGGTACTCGCTCGACATCACCACGTAAATGATCGGGTTGATGCACGTCGTCAAGTATATCAAAATGTACCCCGCTATGTTCGCAGCGGGGTGCGACGTGAACTCCCTAAATATTTTCGTCAAAGTTATAGGTAGGTAGCAGACCCAGAAAGAAAGCATGATGGCCATTATCATCTTCAAAAGCTTTCTGTCTTTTGGTGTCAGTCGGGGCGGTCGCACTGAAGCGGGCGATCGCCGTAGAGCAACTGCTGCTTGACGTAGTCTTTTTGCAGTTTCACCGCCACTTGGTGTCCGTGGCTTTGCATCAAGTGCACATTCGTCATCATGGCCATCTAGAGTATCTACGCCAGACGAAGATGACCTTTCCGGGCCTGGTGTTGGAGGGCAATGTAAAGCAGGAGGAGCAAGTAGCGCCCTGCGTGGTGGAGCGACGTGATTGATTCCATTCTCGGGACCTGGAGATCTTTCAAGAGCAGTCGAAGCTGATCCAACAGCTGAATCTTCTAGCCGTGGTCGGCTTTTTGCAGGGGCCCGAGATTTCCTTGCTGCTTCTCTAACTATACAGAATATTCTAGCATAGCATACCACAATCGCTAAGCAAGGTAGCATAAATGCTCCAACGAAGAGGAATTCTTTTGGAGATCTATTGTTCTTGTCTGGTAGTATGGAGCATGAGCCAATCGTTGGGTCCAAACCAAATCGACCCCATTTTTCAAGCCATGTCGCAATTAGTGCTCCGAACGAAAATATCCATGTGCTAGCTACCATAACAGCCAAGTATCGTCGTTTATATAACCTGTTGAAGAAAAAGAAACAAGTTAAGGAACATATTTATGAATGTTTCATTGGAGTCTAGTCATGGATAATTATACTCACTTTGGATAAAGCCTAGGATGCGATATCATCACATATCTGTTGATGGTGATGGCCAGAACGGTGAACAGCGAGACGGCCACGAGCGCGTATCTTGCAAGCGGGAACATGCGGCAGAGGATCCTGCCGTGCGCCCAGGATCTTCGCCAGAAGGTGGACGCGGCCAGCGGCAGGTTGAAGCAGCAGAACAGCAGATCCGAGCAGGACAGGTTCATTATAAACACAGCGGTTGCGTTGCGGACCTGCGAATAAATATCTTGGTTTATATTCGGGTACTTCTAGTGACCTAAATAGCGTATAATAAAATGCAAATCGAAAACAAAATGGATAAGGCTTTAAGAAATTCAGTTTGGGAACAAATGAAACTGTTATTACACTTGATACTCTTATGAATAAAAAGAGGCCTACACCTATAGAGATACATTCATCTGAATTAGATTTACAATATCGAATGTAAATAACACATTCGCCAATGTAATTTTTGTTGCATAAAAGCTTTGCATAAACAAAATAACAACTTTAATACCTCAGGTTATTATGTCACGTAACTATGATAAAATAATCATCCGGGCCACCCTCCAGGATTGATAAATTGAACCAAACTCGTTATGTGGAGCAATGTAGGGAAAACTAACCTCAAGGGGAACTAAACAGAATTGCTTTACACACTCCTGTGTGGTCGATCAAGATAGTCCCTGGATAAGTTTAACTATTTTGGGACCCGCTAGTAAATTAACGTGTTTAACAACAGTTCTAAATTTAGATGTGACCTTTCGTATTCTTCGACGAAACTAGATTCTATAGTCAGTTAATATTTGTTGCAAGCTAATCAATTCTTTATTAGGTTCTTAATTTACTGTATATTGGCTTGTGTATATTAAACTTGGAAAATAAGATATAGGTAGATGTTCGTCCGTTTCAGCCAAATGACGTCTACTGCTGGACAAAGGATTTCCATAACGATCGGTGCCTGTGGTATAATTAGAAGAAAGAGAAGACTTTTAGGCTGAAAATAGTTTAAAATTTACGGAACTGCTCTGTGTTATTACTTAACCAAGGTCTCAAAACTCATTATGGACGCTCATGAATCCTTCAACCGATAGTGATTGTCGTTACCTTATCAGTTTGTATTCTCCGGACTATTTGCGTGCACTGAACCATGACCTAGGATAAAACGGGACTTGTAAAGTTTCAATCATATTTAATAGTATCCAATTTGTATTCATTGGATACTATTGAATGCCTACTTCGACTTTACCCTGAGAAAAAAATTTGGACTTTATTAGGTAGGAGTTAAGTGGCAATCAAGCTGTAGATCCTTGCTTAATACGAATCAAATCAAATATATTTATTCAGGTGTCACCAGTATTTTGGCACTTATTAACGTCAATAATAATAATAAAAAGGTAGCTTAACACCATGTTTCCTTATCTTTTGGGCCTACTACGAATTGCAGTAGTGGGAAAAATGTGGGCTACTGTAAAGTACCTTTTATGAATTGCGGTTTGTGACGCATTTTATCGTATGACTTATTACTTATTGATTAAAGATCAGGTAAGTACATACTCGTATATGGTAACCGCTTTTTACATGTTTATTATTAGTTATTAAGATATGAAATACTCGTAGATAAAATAATCCATAATTACCAACTTCTTAGCAGTCGATAACAGAAAATGTTCAAATTATCTACTTGTGTGAATGTCTCAATTTAATTGTCGTCGTCTTGTATAGTCGACTGCACATCAGACTATACATTTTTGTTGCAAAATAGTACTTTACAACTACATAAGATGGCGCAGTGTTAAGCTTAATGTGCTCGTCCAAACTTTGTATTGCCAACCTTCTTCATTTAGTTTGAAGTAACTCGATCAAAATAAAGAAAAGGGAAATAGAATTAGTTGTAATAGTGGGGAAAGGGGCTCGTCTTGTTATATCTTATCAGCAAACTACTCATTATCATGTAGAGATTATTCAAGTAGACACGCTGTCATTCGCCATTGTTTTTGTGCGATGACCACGTTATCAAAATGTACACATCAAGCGATTCACATTAACATATTTATTATCTAATTAGTGTAGATAATGTATTCAGGATTTGTTTGTTTAACATTAACATTTTAATAAAATGATTTCATTTTGTTGATCGCAATGAGTTATTTGTAATTTAAATACTTTTAGACACAGACTACAGTACATTGGGTTATTTAAAAGTGTCAAATTAAATGCTTCTTCCTCGTAGATTAGCCGCATCAAACGTTAGCATAAAATTATCTTCAATGACAACTCCAAATAATTAAATATTCCAAAAGTTTTTGGGTCACGGTGATAACGTTCAGGCAAAATGTCGCCGCCGAATGTTTTTAAAGTCTTTGATAACTTCCAGGACAATTGAAGTGCGCGGCGCACTTGTAACTCCAAACTTGAAGTAATATCAATTATACTTCAGTTCTTGTGAGTGTATCAACCGTTTTATTGGATCTTCAAAATTTCGCTCTAGTAACTTCAAAATCAAATTCTTGTAAATCAATTAAAACTTATGAACGGTGGCAATAGTACAACTTTCAAGTCTTGTTCATTGAACATTTCAGCGAAATAGATAATAAATAATTTCATAATTTCCAATGGCCTTTTAATTTGAAAAGGGCACAAGTCGTGCTGAGCCAAAAGTAGAAAAAAGACTGACCTTTTTGCAGCGAGCCAGCGCGATGATAGTGATCAGGTTTCCCGGGATGCCCACCAGCATGAACAGCACGCAGCAAACCGAAGCGAAGCGCAGCAGGCCCTCAGGGTAGTCCTTGAAGAGCTCCACCGCGGCCAGCGCGTCGTCCGTGCTGTACTCGTCCAGGCCCACCACGCTCCAGTTGTGCCCCTCTACGTCGCTGGCGAACGTGCTCTTAGGTATACTCGGCAGCAGATCACCCATCTTAACTCACTGAACATCATTCGATCACACACACTTCTCGATCCATATTCACTTAGGTCGGGACGCGCTCGATCGCCGCGTGCGACTGAACACCCCAGAACTTGCTCAGTGGCAAGAGGTCGCTAATGTATGTTTGTTGATAAAGCATTTCGTCGATGGGCGAGGTTATCGCCGCACAGCTGCTCAGGAAGTGGACGCGTATCACGCATATCACTGCCATGTCGGTCCCATTGTACGGTATCTGCAAAGATAAACTATCGGTTATTTCGGTGTTTAAGTCCGTCGAATTGTTCTTAGAAAGTGGGAGTTGAAGGGTCACTTTGGGAGCGGGTGATCTTTGAACACGGATGAGTGTTCCGCTCTTCCGTTATTGTTAACATATGAATTGTGTATATTAATTGCTCTTGGAAGTTCAAAGGAATTCCACATATCGAGAGGGTATAATTAATAAGGAAGTAATAATATCAATAATTAATTGTTTTCTTATTTGTCTTTGCGCTTGTAATAATAACATAGAGCGTAATAATAATTAACTCTTATCTTTTTATTGTAAAAATTTTCCAACAGCCATGAAATGTTTAAGTTGAAATTATTTACTTTAGAAAACAATTTGTTGTTAGCCTAAAAGTCTACGTGTGAAGTGGTCGTGTAAAATTTATCTCAAAGATAACGATAATGATAAAAGCAAATTTACACAAATTGCTTAATTAGACCCTTGAAATCAAATTAGAAATCAACTAACATGAAAGAAGAAGCGCAAACAGATTTAATAAATTCTTGGGACTTCTTATGACTGTCGGGAAAATGAGTATAAATTTTACGTGATTTAGATTTTAACTAATGAAATAACCAAACGGGGCGTAAATAAAATTATCATCACGCTGTAGGTATTCCCACAAACTTAATAGCATTAAAATATTAATTTGTTATGCTAACGTTCCTACAGTCATGTAGGTATAGCATGTAACATACTTATGTGTGTGTTACTTTGAATGCGTGCACCATGTACCCAGTATTTTAAGTTTAACTTAGCTACTGATGACAGCTGAAGAAAAGGCCAGAACAGAGGTTAAACTCGTATATTAGAATGGAAAAAACAATGAGAAACGTGACGAGAATAATATCAACGGTAATCAAAATAATATTACACAAATATTACATATGTATGTATGTAACTTATTACTTTTAGACGAGGCACATCACGTTTTAATGCGCCATTTCGTCACAAACTGTAAATAACCTCCCTTTGTGATACAATATAAAAATATTCAGACCAATTTAAGAACACAAGTGCCACCAAATCGCGAGAGCGGTAAAATAAAGCACATAATATTAGCCACGATTTTACGTACAACTGTGCACCCGCTTGTTGTAGGTAATGTCACAGAATAATAATAAGTACTACGGTAATGTGAACAAAGAAAATACGCTAAAGATTCAAGTCCTCGCATAATCAAGACGACGCAAACTGAGTATTCATTCATTTACTTAAATTACGCCATTGTCAAACAATAAACGTAAGCATTTAAATAATAAATTAATTTACGAATGTGGACTTTATATGCTTTGATTAACGGTTTAATTAGACGGTGAGCTGTTTGCCGACAAAGCTGCAAACATTAATTATTCTTATTTAATACCTACGTTAGTCGTGGATTATACGCACTACACAATGGATCCCAAAATTCCCAAATAGTTGCCCACATGAGTGAAGTTTATTCATGTGTGTATCACTGCCTTTGTACTTTGTACTGCCACTAAACGAGAATTTAATTCAGTTTATGTTATTTGTTAGAAAGAAAACAGTACCTACGCAAATGAAAAGATTAAGTCGTAGGTCGATGAATTTTAATACAAGTACTTATTACAGGAAATTGTACGTTTCCTATATTGTTATACGGAATAATATTTTTAAGATTTTAATTTCTTCTTTTTAAGATACTAATTTCATCTTCATAAAGGAAAGGGCTTACTAAATGGTACATTTAAAGATAAATTGAGAGTAATCCTTATGCTAGGGCTTCGATTTTGCATTTTGAAAACCGAGTGACATCTAGTGACCCTATGGTCCCCGTTGTTGGTGGCTACACCCGTATTCACAAACATTACTATGAGGTCTCACAGTGCGCGTGGACGCACAAGGTCCTAAAAACTATTCATAGACAATACTTGAGTGAGTGCAAAACCAATTACGAGCTCTAATCAACGATGTTCGACTTCGCATAGCGTTGCTGCTTCACTTAAGCAAGTATAGTTTGTGAACACGGGTGTATTTCTGTCCAGTAGAGTAAGGCATGTGTCATATTGTCATGGTGAAGGAAAGGAAAATATAATAGGCATTTCGATATTGCACTACACGAATTTTTAGAGTAGGTAAGTTACGAGTATGATTATTCAGAACGGTTTTCCCATGAGAATTTGTGTATTGTTTGCTTTCAGCTATGGCGTTCATCCATTATGTATATTGTTCTGTTTTGTGATGTTGTCTTGCGGCGGTTATATCACACTACATGGGGTCATAAAGTGATCAAATGTTAAGGTTTTGTTATGTAAGACTCTTGCTAAACTTGGGTTCATAAGATAAGATAGGTAATGTAAAACATATAAAATAGTATTTTTACTTATTAAATTTAATATAATTTTGCGATGGTAGGTATTCGATAGGTAACCTTAACCTTGCTTTTACAAGTGGGTTTTTACCCACATTAATATTAACATTTGAACGTCTTCAATCGGGATTTCCGTTTGTCTTCATTACAAACTATTGGTACAAGTTAACCTACATGATCTTAGGTATCTCTGTGAAGATAGTAATATGTTCAGTATGACTTGTCTTTCAGCGAAGTATAGTAACTGAGAAATATCTATTGTAAGATTGATAAAGTCTCAGACGCACCATAGTTAAGATTGATTAATTCCCATGCACTTTAACGCCCGCATTCACAAACAATACTTGCTTAAGTGAAGCAGAAAATCGAGCGCACAGCATTGAATAGAGTTCTTTGATTGGTTCTTGTGTCACCATGTGCACTGTGAGACCTCATAGTAATGTTTGTGAATACGGGCGTAAGAAAGCTCTGTAAGTCCACCCAGTCTACTTGCCATAAGCCCTATCAAAAGCTCGTAAGCCCCATTAATTCTCTTTGGCACAGAGACAGGACAGGACGTTGCAGTTAAAAATTGCTTTGAGTCAGAAGGAATGGCTAGCTCCGGAACTATATTTTACAATTCTTTTGTGATCTGAGATTGGCAAAGTACTAAAAGGTTTTTTAGGATTGATACTGACTGGGTTAGTTACACCTTGATGAACAGGAATTTTCGAAATTTATTTTTTATGCTGAAACGTATTTGCCGGTAACTTCGTTACAACATGTCTTGCTGCATTAACATTGGTAAAATTTTCACCTGCCTACACCAAAGTTAATAATATTTCTGTGAGTGCAACTTAAGTATTTTCGAAGCCATAGCGACGAGTAGTCGAAGTATGACAATATTTTGTAAGACGGTCGTTTCTAAATACGAGTAGGTAGGAGTTGAGAGTAATTTATAACACAATTTAGTCACAAAAACTTCATTTAGTTCATCCAATAATATCGCATTCCACCGATTGATTTCAAGGAATATGTTGAATCTTACGAATTCAAACTTTCCGTCTAGGTCTAAAGTTATTCGGCTTTAGAAACTTGGGTAGAAGACCCAAAACTTTTAGGTGTGGCAGACGCTCTAGCAGTTTTCGAAAATACTGAATATTGTTTGTAATCAAAGCAATACTGATTTTCGATCAAATGAAACTAAAATAATAATTTAACTGGAGTCAACTTTGATCACCAAGGTCATCTTATCCATGGGTGATCAAAGGACACCAAATTGTCGCTCGGTGATCAAAGCCAGTGATCAAAGTGGAATACACCTGATTTTAAGGTCTGAAATTGATTATTTAAATATTTTATATTGCAAAATAGCTGCTATTACAAGTCTATAAACTGCCCTTAATTTTCGGTAATGAATTTCTTAAGTTACGTGCCTGAAAACTCCGGCTGAAATATCTGTCCTAATTAGTGCTACGCGTTTATTAGGTATCATTTGTTACGTTGCGGGATTTCCACTTTTATTATCTTAAGTAGGTCTTGTGTCATTAATAAAAGGAAATATTTTTTTCTTGATTATTTTATAGTGCTTTAAAAATAACGCCACAGGTTATGCCCATCTTGGGGATGTTGCCTGGGTCAAAAAGCAAGAGTTTTAATTAGTCCGTCAGTTAACTTATCAAAAAATACTCTACACGTATTTTTCACTTTTTCAAACTAATGAAAATTTAAAGAGATAAAGCGCCCCAAAGTTCATAAGAAGAGGCCCGTGACGTCAACGCTTGCTTAAAAATGCCGCACGTTGTGACGTCGTGCGCAACTTCAACGCACCATAACTATGTAATTATTTGTTAGATTGACAAATAAAAATATATGTGTCCAATATTTTTTGATATTAAACATTACGGACTAAAAAAATTTTTTTAGGCAACTAGCCTAATAACGCCGGCAACGCACCTGTAACGCCCCTGGGTCTGCGGGTGTCTATGGGCGATGGTAATCACTTACCATCAAGTGATCCGTCTGCTCGTTTGCCTCCTATCACATCAAAAAAAAAAAACAGTCTAGGCTTCATCGTAAAGAAAAAGTGTTAATTACATACTGGACCGTAAGCCAAAATTAGTATACACATTGTATCAATTCACGCGGTATGAACGGATAAATATTTTTAAAAAACTATTAAATAGCAAAATATTATGGCTTGTGCACACGAGCTCTAATCTTTATTGTTGCCAGAGGCAATGAGTATGCACGGGAGGTAGCGCAGCGACTAGGCACAAAGGGAAAGATTAGGAAAACGGAGGCGACTTAATTAACCCCGTGCGTGTACACGCTGCACAAGATATCTTAATAACCAAGCTCATATTTATGTCTGCAGGTGCCTTAGTTTGTTAATAAAGTCTAGAAAATTAATTTAAGGTAACATTAATTCTTAGCGACGTGGTATGAGAATTTATCATTCAAGTTTATTTTTAATATGCGAATGCGTCTACGCAAAATCTTTATACATTTATTTATTTATTTATTTATTTATTTATTTATTTATTTATTTATTATTCATTATTAAGCAATTACATATTTGATCTAAATAGCGTCCTAAATCCTCTTTAGGTTTGTCTAGACGCTATTGTTCTCTATACATATAAGCATTACTCATTTATTATAATAATCATATTGTTTCTGTGGTTTCGGTACACAGGATTGCGTAGTTTT